GTGTGTTTATGGGTGAATGTCTGCAGTGTGAAGCGCTTTGAGTGTCCTGGATGGATAGAAAGGCGCTATATTAGTACAGTCCATTTACCAAAACTAATTTAATAAAAATAAATTTAATAAATTCTTGTCCCTGAGCTGTTGGCTTGCAGTAACTGAGCATTTTAGTTGGACAGCAGTGTTAATGTCTGAAAATAAGCTGCTTTAAAGTCACCATCAACCATAAACTAAATCTGCCATAATGCAGCTACTCACTAGAAACTCCTCAGTGAGTAAAACCTTTAATAATATTTATGTATTTATTTCAGATTTAGTCAGTCATACACTTAGTTCTTATCAGTGTTTAAAAGAGGACATGTCTGTTTTGACTAAACTCTGTTTAGTCAAAGTTAAACATGAAACATCAAAGTTCATTACAAGTGGYMCWTTGAGGGCCACCATAACGCTCATGTGGCCCTCAGTGAAAATGAGTTTGACACCCCTGATCTAGAATGTAATTGCACGTAGTCAGACAAAGCTGTTTTTGTTAAAATGGCCTGCCACAGATGAGACATTCCTTATCCGATTCATCTACCCCTCAAGAAGACACTAACAATTTTAACAAACATATAAAATGCAATTTTTTACGAAAATTATCTACTTCACCTTTAACTAGTCTATCTAAACTTTATTGTTTCACTGTACAAAAAAGAAACCATTCGGATAATTTTGTTTCAAGTTTTTCTTCGGTTTTCACACGACGTATCACATGCAGGCACAGGCAGCTTCTACTGTGAACAAGAGCAAGGAATCTGATTCAAATCTGCTTTCTGTGCACCAGGAAAAGAAAACATCCATTATGTCGGAAGCTTTCATTTAAGTAGCTTCATGGTTTTCCATTCGCTGAGCGCCACTGAACCATCAAGGCCCGGAGTACCAGCACTCGGCAAGTTATTGGGTCTAATACATGCTCAGCTTTAGCAAGGGATGGTCACGCGTTTGTGCTCATCAATGCTGTTTCCTCCAGAAAGCCCAGTTCACCCTGCAGATAATTTTAAATCCACACATTAGTCGTATACAACATGTTGTTTGTATTTTTTTTTCGTGGTTTTGTGGTTTGGGCATTACTGGGAGTCAGAAAGGAATCATTTACATGCAGGTCACCGGAGGTTTTTAACTGTTATCTCATGTTTCCTGTCATTGGACTAAAGGGCTCTCTGATAAATATCAGCTGTTTGGAAAATAAAACTTTCTGGGACACAGAAAATGATTTTGTAAGACAGTATTTAACCAGAAATACACAAGTAATTTCTACCTCTTCTAGTTCTAAATATAATAAAATGTTAACTAAAAACTAAAAGTAGCAAAACACTAGTTGAAAGCTAACAAAAAGCAATACCAGAATGCCAAGTAGCAAAATGTAAACTATAGACAACAAAGCTAAGACAAAAGTAGCAAAACACTAGCTAAAAGCTAAGCTACCAAAAGCAATACAAGAATGCTAGCTAAAAGACAAAAGTAGCAAAATACCAGCTATAAACCAAAAATATAAACTACTTGCCAAGAGGCAGATAGTTAAATAGCTGAAAGCTAAGCTTGCAAAAACAATATCAGAATTTTAGCTAAAAGCCTAGCTAAACACTAGCTAATGGCTAAAAGCTGCTTACTGTAAGGCAGACGTAGCGAAACACAAGCTAAAGGCTACATAATATAAAAAAAATACAAGAAGCAAAATATTAGTTGTAAATAGCAGAACGGTAGCAAATATATGCAAAAAATAAAAGCATCTAAAAACTCCAAAATTAGCTAAATGACAGCTAATGTTTTAATGTTTTTTTAAGGACTTGAGATCTTGGTGTACATTGAAAGGGAAAATATAAGTAAATAAATTTGAGTATTTTGAGAAATATAAACGTTACAAAAACTAAAAAGTCTCAGAAGCCATCTCTTGAACGAGCTGAATGTTTGCATGTACGAACGATGAAAACAGCACAAAGTAGCCTATGTGAAAGTAGTTCATGACCAAAACGTACAAAAATTCTGGAGGTCACAGCTTGTAAATATGCTCAATGTAACTTTTCACACTTTGTGCAAAAGTGTAAGGTGCTCAACCAAAAACTGATTTATTYACACCAGAAAGGTTGTCTAGTAAAAAAAAAGTTTAAAGACAGAACTGGTTGATTAAAAAAAAACAATAACTTTTGAGATTAAAACAACAAAATTAGTGTTATAGATAAAAAAATATGTGTGTGTAGCAAAATTCAAATTGTCTTTAATGTCTGTTCGTTTCCTGTATTTTAGTCCAACAGATCCTAATRAAGCACTTCCTTATGTTCAGAGCAGGGTTTGGACTCCCCGGCCCTGCTCTCCGTCCTCTCCCTCCCGGCTCTGGTGGTCTCCAGCAGCCTCTGCAGGTGATTGATGTAGTCTATGGCCGCCCGCAGCGTCTCCACCTTGCTGAGCCGCTTGTCGTCCAGCTCGTGCGGCAGGTGCTCCCGGAGCCGCGCGTAGCCCTCGTTGACGCAGCGCACGCGGTGCCGCTCCCTCTCGTTGCGCCTCTGGACGAAAGCGGGCTCGAASGGGTAGTTGTCGCAGGCGCCCAGGGGAGCGTGGAAGGAGAAGCGGGGCAGGGGTCTGCAGGGGAAGCCCGGGTCCAGGTAGGCAGCTCGGAGGTGGAAGGCGGGCAGCCGGAGCGCCTCTCGGTAGCGCGCCACAAATGGAACGTGCTCCATTTTACTGTTGAAACAAAGATAAACACATTTAACTAAATTTTTTCCACAGGAGGAAAGATTTAAACCACGCAGCTACGCTCACCTGTGCCTCCCTCRGTCCTCACTGATCTCCTGCAGGTTTCAGGAGGGGCCTTAAGGCTGATTTGGGGCGGAGATGATGCAGCTTTTTCATCAAGATAAAACTGTTTACAGCAAGTTTTCTTCCTTCCGTTGACAGAGTGAAGCAACTCACCACAAAAAGGCAGGAGATTGACTTTATCTTTCATCAGCACAGGAGGTGAAGTTTGGGGGTGGGGGTGAGATGAGATCAGGATTTATCTTAAAAAAAATCATTCAATGATTCATTATAACGTTTAAATCAGAGCAAAAAACATGCTTCATGGTATAGAAGACGTTTGGAAGTTTAAAAAAGTGCAACAAAACTACTTCCCTATAAACCTCTTAAACATGGTATATATGGTGTAACAGGATAATATGGTTTAACCTACATAGTGACAAATAGGGTAATTATGGGGTAACATTAAAGGTAAATACAGGCTGTTCTTAAATACAGGGTAACATACAGGAAAATATGGGGTATTATACATAGTAACGCAGGGTAATTAAGGGGTATTYTGTTATTTATTTACTGTTATTTAATCAGGCAAGTCCCATTGAGATCGCAGATCTCTTTTTCAAGRGAGGCCTGGGCCTGAGGGCAACCTATTGTACATGTTTCTGGGTGACAGAAACCGAATCACCCAGAGAAAACCCACCCAAGCATGAGGAGAACATGCAAACTCCACACAGAAAGACCCCWGGTCCGAACCAGGCATCAAACACAGGACCTTCTTGCTGTGTGGCTTYGGTGCTAACCACTGARCMATCAWGCTGCTAACTTCAGGATACAGGATAATATGGGGTAATATRCAYAGTAAYGCAGGGTAATTAAGGGGTATCATAYGGGAWAATATGGGGTAATATACATAATATAGGGTAATTATGGGCATCATACAGGGTAATTATAAGGTAACACAAAAGGTAAATATGAGGTAAGATACAAAGTACCATGTAGGGAAATTACAGGTCAAGATTGAGGTTAATTATGGGGTAACATTCAAGGTAATTATGGGGTAACATACATGGTTATTACAGGGTAACAGTAATTACGGGTAAGCTTCGATGGCTTTAAATCRTGCCGAATCCCAGTTACTGAAAATGTATTGTGGTATTCCCCAGGGTTCAGAACTGGGACCACGTTATTTTTATTTTATTTATTTATTAATTTTATGGTTTGTTTTTGCTTTTTGTATATAATTGATATTTTTAAGATTTCTAAAAATTGTTAAAAGATATATAGTGTATGGATATGACACAAATATATTTTGTTTCAGAATTATAGTTACTAATAACTGCTTGCAGGGTTTCTTAAGGTTTGATATTAGGAGCACATTAATATTTTGACATGCATGTTTGATATGAGTAGAACTTGAACAACGGTTATGAAGTTAAACTGTTTGCAGACGACACCAACGTATTAGTTGTGAAAAAGACTGCAGGGCTGAGCTGAAAATATCTGTGACCTTTTTCRTAATAGAAGAGAAATTATCACTGCTAATGATAGTTTAAGGGTAGAAGTTCTTCAGCTGTAATTCATAAAAGTAAACCCAATAACAGGATACATTCACGATTTTTTCAACCAAACTGTTCACAAAACTTGAAATAACCATAGWCAAATGATGCAACCATAGCTGTGTTTTAATTTAAATAGATATTTACAAATAATTAAAATGCTATTAACTGAAACAATCAATAAAATGCAGATCTGCGGCGCAGCTTGTGTGGATTTTGGTGCATTCTGGCAGCCTGCAGGTCCTCAAGCTGCTGAAGGAGAGCATCTTTTTCCAGTTCTAACAAGGAGATCTGATGATTCTTGTCGCTCACTTTCTATTAAAGGATAAATACAAAGAAACACAAACGTTAAAAGGGTTAGCATCTGCCGAAATACTGGAAAAATTTCCATCAAAGAAATAAGTTTAGTCTACCTGAGTCAGGGCCGTGTTGTGCCACCGGAGGTCGCTGTCTGCCACGGCGTCAGAAACCCAAGGATTTCTGCTGACGTTGGGTTCACTCATAACAGAACCCAGAGAACCATTAACCCTCTGGATCTGAGATCTGAGGAGGCAGGACCGAGCCTGTGAAGAAGTCCAACACTTTTAAAGGAAACATCTAAGAATTCATGTTAAATATATGAACCTGAACATTTATATCACTGCTACAACATACATCTAAAAGCTTGTTTTATTGCCAACATTATGATTTTTCTCTTTATGTTCTGTGGTTACTATTACAACCGTACCTCCACTAATTCATTCTGGTAGCTGCTCGACCAAATTCTGCTCTCGATGTCCCAACGGGCTCGGTTCTCCTCGAGCCGCTGGTGGTACCAGAGCCGACCCCTGTCCAAAATCTCCAGTCCAGACCACAGGGCGTCCTTCTCCTTCTCCAAGTCTTTCAGACGTTTAATCTGAAATGAGGACCTTCGGATTAAAGGTTTTGTTTATTTGATGGTATGAAGGTACACGTTCACACAAATATCTTTACGATGGGTGACATAAGGCCACCAATCAGAACTGTTGTCTTCCAGAGGCCCCAAGTTATTGTGTTATAACTTCTATTGGTCGGTTCATAAGATGTTTAAAACACCAGAAACAGATTTTTCTGACTTTATCGTGATTATCAAAGCAGTGAACAATGCTAGATTTTAAATTTGTGGAAGCTTTAAGAGGAAATTCTGAGTCAACATGTGGATGTGTCACTCGGCGAAAATAGTTGAGATGGAAACTGGCTGAAGAGTCCGTAAATAGTTCAGTGGAAAGATTTTAATAAAACACTCAAAATAATCAATGTTTTTTTCATCAAACCGAGACAGCTCGATTCAAGATGGCCGCCACGGTTTATTGTGTGTCAAACTTAAACGGGTCAAATCTGGCCCTAAAGGTAGCCTTTTGCGTGAAACAGTTTTATAAATCCAAGCTAATATCGTTAGCTCGGTAGCTAGCGCCGCATTTTCATTAGTAATGTTTAAATTTGGTGTTATTTCCAGAGCTAATTTACTAAAATCATCACGTTTGATCATTTCAACCCATATATCAGGGCTATTCAACTAAATTGCTCCAGGGGCCACAGTTAATGCACAGGGGCTGAACATCCAGCAATTAAAGTCATTATGTAATCAAACCAAGTATTACAAAGATCTGTTACCTTTGAAAATGTTTAYTTTGCTGCATTTAATCATGAATACAACATACTGTGTAATAAAAGTAGTTATAATAAAACAACAAAAACAAAAGTAACACAATAACATCTCTGACTTGCCCAATTTTTAAACCTTTTTTTTTTTCCTTTCATAGTTTCGTCTTCAGCTGCTTGTCTAACTAAAAGAACTTAAAGTAATTAAAGTAAAAAAAATGGGGGGTTGGGCTTAAAGGGCCTGTGACATGCTTATCCTTCAAATACAAAAAGTCAAAGAAAACATTTATATTTAAGAAAATTAGCATAATACACATGGTTTTACCCATTTTGTCTCATAATTGCCRTATATTCKCTCGAATTTGGCTCAGCAAAGTGAAACAGGAAGTGACATCAAAGGGGAACTCTAAGAAAAGAAACTCTCTAGACTTTATTTATTGAAACAATCTTAATTAAACTCTTCTTCAACTCTGATAGTGACTCAAAATAATCTAAAGAAACATCAGATTCTTATCTAATCATTGTAGCGTTGTTCTGTTTACATGCAGACATTCCCCTTTGACATCACTTCCTGTTTCTTCACATGCAAATATCTCAACAACTGTTCATCTCAACAGCGTGAAATTTGTTTTGCAATTTGTTTTCAATGCTCTCTTTCCAAAAACGCTTTCACATTTACTACAAACATTTGATGTCACAGGCACTTTAAATATTGGTGTTAAAAAAATGGATTTACGAGCATAACACAACCAAACCAATTGACCGGGCGAACTTTGGTCACTTCGGATGTGGCCCGCGGGCCGCCAGTTGAATACCCCTGCCATATATTTTGTGCATAATAAATTTGTTGTCCCACATTTTAGCTTTTTATGCTTGACTCTGTGTTTTAGTACCAATTTTAACCTATCATTATCTCCAAGAYGTGTTGCGTCCATRACAAAAYGGTGTGCTTAAGTGAAAAATGTARAAGTAATTGCACTAAAAGTGAGTTGCACTACTTGTCGGGGCACTTTGGCTGCTTCTTCCTTAAATCAGTAAACAAAAACTTGTTTTCAGTTTCACCGTTGAGACAATTAAATGACATGTTGCATTCCATACCTGAAGAAAAGGTCATCAGTTGAACCTTTGACCCAAACGCGAGGCTTTCGTTCACATTTAAAACAACCTTGTAAAAACAAGAAGCAGCAGCTCACCCACAGGTAGAAGCGAAGGGCGTCCAGGCTGCAGAGGCTGGTCCTGAGCGGGATGACGACAACGTTGTAGGAGCCGGAGCCAGAGAGACGGCACGCCATCACACCCCTCATACAGCCAACAACAACAACAAACTCTCCACCAGCTGAGCCACTAACACCAGTGATAGAGAACGACTGAAAGCAGGAGAGGAAAAAAACAGGCACACACACACACACAAAAAAAAAAAAAAAAGCAGAAGGACACACAGAGGCGCAGGCAGCGTGGTGCCTCCGGGGTGAGGGAATGAAAAATACTGCTACGACTGGTTCATCAACATCCAGCGGGGTGGAGAGGTGGACGAGCTGCCAGGGCTGAATCAAATAAAAAAAATAATAAACTGCAGAGCCAATCACATTCAAGATGGCTGCCACAGCAGTGAAGTCAATATYACACACATTGAGCTATAATTCGGCTTGGTAGTAGCTGAGAGCGATCCCCAACTTATACATTGAGCACCGACAGAGTTGACAGGATTTGTCTTTTAGCAAAACATCTCCAGAGCTACTGGATGGATTTGAGCGAATTCCTCACCAAGTCTTGATTGGATCCATGTCTACGTCTGATTGACTTTCAGCTTCAACCCAATTCAAGATGGCCACCACAGCCAACAAACCACAGAGAATACAAAAATGGTTACGACTCAGACAGTTTTACGGATGTGCAGCTAAAGTTTTAMGTGGTAGTAGCTGAGCRTTGTCCTTGAAACATACTTTGAGCATGAGAGATTGTAATACATCGTTGTGTTAAAGTTTGGCATTACGTGTCGTAGTCAACTACGTGTTTGTCTGTTAGCAAAATATCCAGCTAACCACTAGTTAAATTCGAATGAAACTTTCAGAAATGAATCTCCGGTTTGACGTCTAGAACTGACTAAAATTTGGAGTCAGCTCAATTTAAGATGGTGGAGCAGCCAAGCAGATGGTGGAGAACACAAAAATGGGTCCAGCTGAGCCAGTTTTASTGATACTGCACTAAAATTTGTTGTGGTAGTAAGTGAGAGTTGTTCACAACTCGTCCTCAGAGCGCTAATGCCTCAGACAAGATATGGAATGAGTTTGAGAATAATTTCATTTCTCAACATTTGATTTCAGTTTAAAACTCAGCAGGTGATGCGTTCCTTTAACGATTGGTGGGTCTTTGATTTATATTAAAGCGTCACTTTAGTAGGAAAAAAACTGCTTCATTCGTTTTCCGAGAATGTTGTTTTTGCAGAAYGAAAGCGAAGCGCACACCGTCGAGCCTTCTGTCCCGACACGTTCTCCCTGGAATGTGACAGAACCCGGTGGGTTCTGCAGAACCTGCTGTAGCTTCCATCGCTCCAGTGTGAGAGCAGGAGGCAGAGACCCACCGCCTGAACAGGAACCAGCTGCTGTGATGGTGCAGAAACACAGTTTGAGTGGATTTAATGAGTTGGTTTATGCAAAATCAGCAATTCTGATGAAAATGCTTCAATTGAAATAAAAGAAAAAACTTAATTTGACATTTCTGCAGACTTCTGTCCATCATAAGGAGTTTTTTGCTAATTATGTAGTTGTCAGCAAAATATCTCATAAATCACAAGACAGATTTTAATTAAGCTCTCAACTGGACTACGACTTATTAACCTAATTTAATAACTTGCGAACATAGCAAACATGAAACATGTTGAAAACTCAATAATTTTTTGAGATTTTAAGCTAAAATTGGGTGTGGTAGTAGCTGAGAGTGTTATTTACAATGTTTTACGTGATTCATCATTTAAAGAGGGAACTTTAGCAAAAACTGGCGCATGAAGGAGAAAAAAAAGCAGAATTTAACTTTTGTTTTCAATAAATTCTCTTAAATGTGCGACTTTTCCTCATCCTTTGTTCTGTTTCTCCAGTTGCAACACCTCCTCGGTGTTTTACTCGCAGAACTTTCTGTGTTGCGATTCTACGAYGGGTGCGGTTGATCTGTTTCTCCTGACACGTGCAAACACCTCGCACAAAACAAACGGACAGTTTTCAGCGCTGGTAATTTCTACTGAATTCTCACAGCACTGTAGGAACCAATCTTAGTGTTTTAAATAAGCAAACTTTGCTTTTTTACCAACAAAGGAATATGAGTCTGCTGTACCTTTAACCAAACACCAGGTGGCGCCATGCAATAAGAATTAGCTACAGCAGGAAGTCACTCTTATATCTGTTGTTTATTATGCTGAACTAAAATAAATAAATAAAATGAGAAAGAAAACTCTAGACTGCAACAAAACAGCTACAACTAGCTGCTAAAAGAGCCATCTGCAACAGGTAAGATGTTAACTATTCGTAACTTTTTCAATAGCAGTTTTAAATCGCCCCAGAGCAAACATATAATGTGAATCACTGGACTGACTTTAATGAAACGCCCAGAAAATAACCACTAGATTTACATCTACAGATAAATAACTCCGCCGCGTCTAATCGATGTTATCAAACACAAAAATAACTGTAAAGTCATTCARTTTTGCAGAAAAAGAGCTAAAATTTGGGGTAGCAGTGGCTGAAAGTCATCCCCAACACATACTATAAACACACAACCAGGTCTGTTAGAAAAATGTCTCATTGCATGGAAACTTTCAGAAACTAATGTACAAACTGAACCCAATTCAAGATGGCTGCCACGGTTAACTGACCTTTTCCGACACAAAAATGGCCGTCAGTCTGTTTTATAGATATGAAGATAAAATTTGATGTTAAAGTAGCCGAGCATCAACGACGACACTAACTTTTAACTAAAGCTGRTTTGTTTAATACTCCTTGGTGAAAATCAGCAGGTGATACGCACTCCTTCGAGAAATGCTGGGCCTTTTTGTAAATAATTTATCTAATGTCTAACAGAGAATAACTGTCCATTTGTTGCAACACACAAGGTCATGATAACTTTACCCACTAAATGAGGAAGTTGTCAGACTACCACATACAAAAAAGAGTGAATAACTTCACAAGAACTACTTTTTACTTGTTTACACACACGCAGGGCTTACGACACACACACACACACACACACACACACACACACACACACACACACACACACACACACAC